CTGAGCTGGGAGCCCAATGTGGGACTCGATCCTAAGACTCTAGGATCATGACCTGAGCTGAAGGCAGTCACTCAACCAACTGAGCCACCCAGGCACCCCTGTCTGGGAAACTCTTTATCTCCCCTTCTATTCTAAATGATAGCCTTGCTGGATATTCTTTTTTTTTTTTTTTTTTGAAGATTTTATTTATTATTTGACAGAGAGAGACACAGCGAGAGAGGGAACACAAGCAGGGGTAGTGGGGAAGGGAGAAGCAGGCTTCCCGCCTAGCAGGGGGCCCGATGCAGGGCTCGATCCCAGGACCCTGGGATCATGACCTGAGCCAAAGGAAGACACTTAACGACTGAGCCACTCAAGCGCCTGTGGATAGAGTATTCTTGACTGAAGATTTTTCCTATTCACCACTTTGAATATATCACGCCACTCTCTTCTGGCTTGCAAGGTTTTTGCTGACAAATCTGCTGATAGCCTTATGGGGCTTTCCCCTTGTATGTAACTGTCTGCTCTTGCTGCTTTTAAGATATGTTTTTTTTTTTAATCACTACTTTTTGCCATTTTAATTACACTATGTCTTGGTGTGAATCTGCTTTTGTTGCTTTTATTGGGCATTCACTGTGCCTCCTGGATGTGAATATTTGTTTCCTTCCCTAAACTAGGTAAGTTTTCAGCTATTATTTCCTCAAATAAATTCTTCTTCCCCTTTGATTTCTCTTCCTCTTCTGGGACACCTATAACATGAAGGTTATTACATTTGATGGAGCCACTGAGTTCCCTATATCTATTCCAATTTTGCAAAATTCTTTTTTCTCTCTTTTGTTCAGCCTGATTATTTTCCATTACTTTGTCTTTCGGTCATTAATTCGCTCCTCTGATTCTTCCATCCTGCTATTCATTCCATCAAGTGTGTTTCTCATTTCATTTATTGAGCCCTTTATCTCTGCTATGTTATTCCTTATCTCTGTATTAAGTACTTTATTCATGTCTTCTACTCTTTTCTCACATCCAGTGAGTATCCTCATGATCATTGCTTTAAGTACCCCATCAGGCATGTTACTTATATCTGCTTGGCTTAGATCTCTGGCTGTGGTGTTGTCTTTTTTTTCTTTCTTTTCTCCCTCCCTCCCTCTTTCTTTCTCTCTTTTTCCCTCCCTCCCTTCTTGTCTTTCCTTTTCTTTTGTTTCTTCTTTCCTTTCATTTGCAACAAATTTCTCTATCTTCACATTTTGTCTCTGTGTCTGTTTCTCTGTGTTAGGAAAGTCAGCTACATCTCCTGTTCTTGAGGGTAATGGCCTTATGAAGAAGTCCTGTACTGCCCTGCTGTGTACTGTCCCCAGTTCCCCAGGGCCTGGCGCTTCTGGGAATGTCACCAATGTGTGCTGCATGTGCTGTGCTGTTTTATCCTAGCTGTTACATCCTTTAGGCCAGTCATCTTCAGAGGCTATCTTTGCCTTTTGTGAGCAGTACTTGGCCCCCAACCTGAATGTAGTGCATTTTAATGAGGCGTGCTCTGGTCTGCTTGTGAATGAGACCTGTCACCACTGCTGTTTGAACAGGGGCTCCACAAAACTCCTGAGTCAGGAGACACACTGTAAGCAGAAGTTTGGGCCGGTCTTCAGGGGGAGGGGACTCATCAACCTGGAACTGAGGCAAGTGTGACGGGGAAGGGCAGTTCCACAGGAGTAAAGGCACTTGAAGTGGGGCTTGGTATAAGCAAATTAGGTAGCAAGTGTGGGTGCTGCACTGATTCCCACAGGTGGCCCTGTGCTCATGGGCTGAGGGATGGGTGAGGGAAATGGTGTCAGTCACTTCTGTGTTCCTGGAGGGGTCTCTCCTTGAACTCTGCTTCTCTGGGATGTGCTCTGAGGTGAGCAAATAACCTCTGTACTGTGTCCCCCAGGTGCTCTTCAGATTGCTGTTTCCACACTGTACATCATGCGTTGTTTGCCTAGCTTCTAAGAGCAGTGCAATGCCCTCTGGGATCTATCCCAGCCATGCCCACTGACCTTTAAAATTCCAGTCTTTAAGTCCACTGGTTGCAAGAACTCCCAAAATTCAGTCCCTCTCACTTGCCAAGCCAATTGCTATGGGAATTCATTTTCCCTGTGGGCTCCCTGGTTGATGGTTATTAGTCTGTCTCTCACCCTTCTCTGCCACTGTGGCTCTCTCCCCACCACAGCGGCCATGATCTCTTTCTCTCCCAAACCGCATCTCTGCACTTACCACCTTCTTCAATGTGGCCTCTTCTCTACTTTTAGTTGTGTAGTTTGTTCTGCAACTCTTCAGGTCAATTTCTGGGGTATTTAGGATGATCTGACAGTTATCTAGTTGTATTTGTAGGATAAGGTGAGCCTAGGGTCCTCCTACTCTGCCATCTTCCAACCTCTCCCTGTACTTCTGATATTTTTAATAGTTCACTCTGGTGATATTGTCAAAGATGGATTTGGTGCAGGTAAGAAAAAGTAGACTAGTTAGGAAATAACTGAAATAGTCTAAAAAGAAATAATGAAGGCCAGAATATCCTTACCAGTGGTGGTAGGAATGGACAATGCATTTCACATCTTTTGGAAACTGAGTGGATAGAGGCACCATGAACTAGGATTGAGAAGAAAGATGAATGAGCAAGTTTGAGGTTAGTTTTGGTTATATTATACTTGAGGGTATATAGGCAGTCAAAGGAGAGATGTTTAACAGGCACTCTGACAAAAGCCTGAAGCTTGAGGAGTGGTCAGAGCTGGATGTCAGCATATAACAATACTTAGAAATGTCAATGGATGAGATCACCAAAGATGGCGTGTACAGTACTAAGAACAGTGGACCCAGGACAACAGAAAACATCAATTTTTAGAGGCAAGCAGAACAAGAATAGACCTCAAAGAAAGAAAAGAAGTAACTAGAGGTAGGAGGAGGAGGAGACAGAATGGTGTCATGGAAGCCAGGCTTATTAGTCAGGTTAAGGAAAGGTTGATAAGTCTTTGTCTTCCATAGCAGCAAGCTCATACATAATGCTGAAAACTAAAAATTCAAGACTTATCTATAGAGTGTGTTATCTGGGGATATAGAAGCAAATGCCAAGGAATCAGCTAAGAGTTAAAAATGCTTGCCCTGAGGGGAAAAATGGGAGGTGAGGGGTTTGAAACTATGGCTGACCTTTGAAGAAAGCACGGGTTAGGGGTGACAACCCCTCAACTCAGTTGAGTAACTGCATATAATTTTTGACCCCAGAAACTTAATTATTTTCATAGTCTACTGCTGATCAGAAGCCTTACTGGTAACAGAAACCATCAATTAATACATATTTTGTATGCTATACGTATTGTATACTGTATTCTTACAATAAAGTAATCTAGACAAAAAGAAGTACCAGGACAATCATAAAGAAAATACATCTATAGTACTGTACTTATGGGAAAAAATCTGCCTGTAAGTGGACCCATGCAGTTCAAACCCATGTTGTTCGACTGTATTAATTTCTCTTAAGGAACCCTTTACGCTAGGTACAAATAAATAAAACAAAAACTCTTAACTACAAGGAGAAGAGACCAGAATTAGTGATTCATTGTGTATAAAAGTTTTAGGGTTTAATTAGTCACAAATGCAATATGATCCAGGAGATATGGCCACCAAACAAGTCAACATAAACTGTAATTACCAAGTTTTATACTCGCATCCAAATAAGAGATTGAATTTCTATGATCATATCAGAAACACACAATTCAATTCTGGGTATCATGTTTTAAGAGGGTCCAAATCCTATCTTTCACATTCATCCTTTATATCCTAAAGCCCCTACCCTAATTCCAGCTCTTAACATATCTTACACCTAGATCAAGCCAAGAGTACCCTAACTGGTCTTTTTGGCTCCGAGCTACTCTACATCTTGTATCCAAATTAATTTTCTGAAAGTCTGGTTTGTTCGTATCACTCTCCTCAATCTTTAACAGTAACTACCTTTACCAGTTTCCTATTACCCAGCTTCTCTGCAGGACATTTAAGATCTTTTATAAGCTGATCCCAAATTAACTCTTTAACTTAATGTCCTGCTGCTTTCTCAAATGGTTTACCAACTCCAGTCAGTGTGAGGTACTCACTGTACCCTGCGCACATCACACCTCTTATAATACCTCTACTTCTGTGCCTTAGTTCCTTGTGTCCTTGCTCCCATTATTCTTCAAGCCTGCTCTTCGCTGCTTATATGGGCACCGTTTTTTTAATTTTAGTTTTTATTGTTATGTTAATCACCATTACATCATTAGTTTTTGATGTAGTGTTCCATGATTCACTGTTTGCATATAACACCCAGTGCTCCATGCAGAAATTGCATATGGGCACCATTTATATGTCAAGCAAGTGCCATGCTTTCTCTAGGGCTTTCCCTAGTCTCTTTTACTGCAGGGACATCTTTGTCCTCTGGACTTCCACAGTGCTTCCCATTACGTCAGTCGCTTCCCAAATACCACATACAGAATGCATTTGTACCATTAACTACCTTTTAAAAGTACAAGGGGCGCCTGGGTTGAGCGTCCTACTCATGATTTCAGCTCAGATCATGATCTTGGGGTCATGAGATTGGGCCCAGCCTCGGGTTCTGCACTCAGCACAGAGTCTGCCTGAGATTCTCTCCTTCTCCCTCTGCCTCTTCCCTTGCTCATGTGCTCTCTCAAATAAACAAACAAAATCTTTTAAAAATAAAAGTACCTTTTGTAAGTATCAGTTGTATTGAAAGCCATGACCTTAAAATGGCCAACAATATTTATCACATTGAGATAGTCACCACGCCTCAATTTATACTTTTAAGGACATTAAAACATAATCTACTCCTTTAAGCATAGTGAGTGTTTTTCAACATTCTGCACATGTCTCTACTGTAGCACATATCATAATATCTGGATTTTATTAAACTGAATCCCCCTTTTCCACCTCACTACCTGAGCGTTACATGGAGGCAAGGATTTCTGGCAGAATAGATATGGAATCAATATTTCATGAATCAAATTACTCACCCCACTGGCAGTTCTGATGGGTTTTGCCTTTAATTTGGGGACTAAGACCTTTCGATACTGAGGTGGGACTGCAGCGATGATATCCACCAGGCGGGGCTGTGCTGAAAGGCCGTATTTGGCAGCTGTCCTGGTTTTTACCCTGGAAGTAAAGCATCTAGCATTATCAAGATCATAGTATTTCAAGGCATACTACCAAAAGAATGACCTACAAATAACATCAACTCCTGTCACTCCCCAATCTTTTCACCCAGTCACAACAGTGGCATTAACATTTGTGAGTATCAGAAAAATAGAAGAAAATCAGGAAAACGTACCAATGACTTCTTACTCCAGAGTACCAGAAAGAAAACAAGATGACTACAGGGAAGGTCCCAGCACAGTGACACAGGTAGGTCTCATTCAACAAAGTGCTCTAGCTTCACAGCATTCTACCCTTTTCTCAACCCAACACTACAGCACCTGGGATTAATTCTGTAGTAAGGGACTGTTTATTACACTGTGGGATGTTTAGCAGCTTCATCGGCCTCTACCCACCAGCACCCCACTTCCCATTGTTAACAACTAAAAATGTCTCCTGGGTGGGTGGGTGGGTGGTATCATGCCTGGTTGTGAGCTATGGTCTTAGACCAGACAAACAAACAAAAAACAATTTAAAGGAAAGGTGTACAGAACCAAATAGTAAATAATGTATATTTTTAAAGTGTTTTAAAACTTTTTCTAACATAAAATAATATATACATAAAAAACAGAACATAAAACATACAAACATACTTTAAAATTTATGAAGCAAACACTTGTGTTACTATACTCCAAGGAACAGAATATGATCAGCACTTCAGAAAACCCATTTACTCCTTCCTGACTATAACTTTATCCCTAATCCCTAGAAATAACCTTCAGCCCAACTAATAATTCCTTGCTTTTCTCTATAATTTTATTGGTTTCTTGTTTCTTGGTGCTAGCAAACCCTAACAGTCACCTTAATTTCTCATTTTAATCCAACTAAAAATATTGTGAAGTATTTGCATCATTTTCAAAAAATGTTAACTCAGTACCTGATTTGTAAAGAGTACAAGTACTTGGTATGCCAGAAGGTATAAGGCATAGTTGTTTCATGCTCTATGTTTGTATGCTGCTATGTTTTCAGAGAGGCATTCACAAAAATAAATGTGTAAGTGATAAAAATATATGTGATAAAACACACATACAATAATGAACGTGTCCAGAGTTCAAGAGAGGAACTCAATGGGTGCTGTGGAGACAGTCATGGAAAACAGGGACAGAAAAGAGTTGGCCTCAGACAGGCAGTGAAGACATGGAGATGCCACTGAGAACAAATAGGCTGGCTTATGTGAAGACACAAAAACAGGAATGCACATATTTTAGGATACATGGGTAGACTTGATATAAAGCAGACACTTTCAATGTAAAGGTACAGAAATTTAAAAAGTTGGGCAAGTTGAAGCCAGACCAAGAGGCCTTACATAAGGGGCTGAAGAATTTGCATTTAATTTCATATATGTTGAGGACATACTGAAAATTCCTGTATAGGGCAATGACATGATAAAAGACAAGAACAAGGAACAATTAACCCAGCAAGAGATATAGACTGAAAGCATAAGCTACTGCAGTAGTCTAGCATTAAGTTCAAAAAGGGATGAATTAGGGAGTTAGTAGTGGAAATGAAAGTGAGAGTCATAATGAAGAGAGAGTAGGCAAAATTTAAATATTAATTGGAACTAAGAAAAACAATCTGAAGAGGACACTAGAGTTTCAAGCCTGGGTGAAGGTTAATACAATTAAGCAAAGAGGACATCTGCATAGAGGCTTGTTTTCAGGAAGATGTTAGCATAAACTTTAGATGTGCTAAATTAAAGAGACTGACAAAAAATACAAGAAGAAGAAATGTTCACTAGAAATAAAAGACTTTTGTATAATTAGCGGTATAGCCAACAATGACAGAAAAGCAACTCCTAAAGACAGGATAGAAAAATCAGTAAAACATAACTCCACAGTCCAGAAAGGATAATTAAGTAACTTATTTATTCCTTTAGCAAAAGTTTATTAAGTGCAATATTCCAAGGAAGTGATAAAACACTGTAGCATCCCAAGCAACAAGAAACAGTCTTAAAAAGGCCTCACTGTGGTGATTTAGACCACTGATGACCTACCTGGGAGTGGGGAGAAAACCCTTTCATTAGAGCAGATCTACATAGTGAATATCTAATGGAAACAAAAGAAGCAGAGATGAAAGACTACTCTTAACTGAGGATGTAGCAAAGTCAAAACTGAACATGATTGTGGAAAGGAAACAGATGAACAGGTCAAAAAGGCTATAAAGTAGAAAAGGGTTGGATTAGATCAAAGACCCCAAAGGCAGGGTTTTCCTAAGAGAGCTACTGCTTCTTCTGAGACAGGAGGAAGGGAACAAGGATGTGAAGTGATGCAGCAAAGAAGATAACAGGGGCTCTGAGACAGACGATCTAATTCCAAATCCCAGTTCTGCCAACTACTAGTTCTTTACTTTTAGACAAATTATCTAATCTTCCTCTGTCTCGTACCCAACTGTCAAATGAGGGTGATATAAGTACCTAACTCACACAGTTTTTGAGGGGACCACCTGAATTAATACAATGCACTACTAATAGTGATTGGGACATAGTAAGCGCCCAATAAATATTAGAAGCGATTAGTATTCTTAGGCTGTGACAGAATTTTGCCATAAATGAGTGACAGGGCAGAGCAGAAAGCTAAGTTCTCAATTAAAATATAAAACATGAGATAGAAAACAAATCATATTTGATAATTTCAATAAAAAGATCTACCACCTAAGAACAGGACTGCCTTCTTTGTTTTATAAATCAACTTACTTATTCAGATCAATGTCCTTCCCCTGTTCGTGGGCTTCAATTAGTTGTTTAATAACATCTCCTATAGTCAGCATCATCAGCTCAGCAGGGCTGAGATCTCCTGGAAAAATAATATTTAACAATGTAAAAAATCATATAACCCAGTAAAGTTTTTTGCATTTATTTTTTTTCTTCCAAAATTATTCCAACCATCCCAGATGAACAGCTCAAGTTTACAAGACACCAAACTTCCACTGTTTACAGTTTGAGCATATCCTTTGTACCCTTAATAAAACAAACCTGCTTCATCTATATAAGGGGAGAATTCACTTTAGAAGTACAAACATTGTAAGAATGATAGATACAGGAAAGAACAGAGACAAACATGAGGAGAAAGAACCTAATTGTACAAGAAAGCATCAAAGTGGTTAAAATAGCTTCCATTTAACTCCAGAATTATAATGATATTTAGATGCATTATTTCATCTCTCAGAATGCAGTAGATAGGAATATTTGCTAGTCACACAAAAATGCCACCAAGGGGTGAAGTTGAAACTCAAATCCAGGTATCCACAGACGTAATATTACAAAGCAATGCAATGCTCCTTTGTAATACAAAGAATGTTGGTTCTATACTTGCCTAGGGATCTAAGATATAGTCTGTCCACCATCATGACCTTCTGGCAACTGTGGCTGACATGACAAGCAGAAACCAACATGTTCTTACATGACTTACATGACTTCATCATTCAATAGATTGGTTCAAGGATAGGCACCTACCCGTCAGGCCAATCTGAGCTCTTTCCTCATGGCAAAAAATGCCACTCTCCCACCAGTGATATGGCTTGGGAACTGCCACCAAGCATACTTCCAGCCTATAGAGAAAGCTAGCGTGCAGAGACGATGGAGTCATCAGAGAGAAGAATAGATGATAAAGCCCTGGCAGTAATGGAGCCCCTTTATTTATTTTATCTCATTTGAAACCTCACAACACTGTATGGTAGATGGTGTCAGCCCCTTTTACAGGTGTTAAAAATTAAGGGAAGTTAAGATGCCATTGTAAATGGAATAGTTACAACTCAAATCCAGGTGTTTTCTCCGCAAGTTCCACGCTTTTTTCTCTGTACTAAGCTGCCTCTAACTTAATGAAGCAAAGTTAACACACACAATGTTGAGGGAAAAAAGTCCATCTATAATCAAAAGCTAAATGCTTTCAAAACCACGTAATTCAGAGTTCCAAAAAGGCGCTTCAAGGACCATGTAACAGAGGTAGGGTTGGTGGTGGTGCTGGAAGAAGAGGGAGAGGGAGGAGAGGAAGGAAAAGGAGGATCTCTTTCTTCATTAAACCAAAGTAGCTTGGCTTTTGCATCTGTAATATATTGAAGCTCTATGTAATAATTTGGAGAGGAGAAGAGGATTCAGGTGATAAAAACAGATAAAGATTTGAAAACCACATATACAGCTCTTGAGTATAAAAAAATTAACTAGAGAAGCAAATTAGTAAGAAAAAGCTTCATGGAGGAAACAGCACAGGAGACTTTAAAAGAAAGGAAAGGAGTGGACAAGTGAAACAGAGGACAATCCAGAAGGAACAATGTCAGGTATAGGAATTATCTATCTTTGTGTGAAGGAGTGTTGCCTAACAAGAATACAGCTTTCTGATGAGGTTCAAGAGAAAAACAGATTACAGGATACACTGACTACTAGGCAAAGGCATTTAAATGGAGTGGAGAATAATATATTCTCAAGTTTGGGAGTAAAAAGATCAAAGTAGTGTTTAAAAAAAAGTACATAAAATAAAGAAGATGATACAAAAATGATTCAGAAGGTAAAAAGAATACATAGAATTTGATACTAAATAAAAGGCTCTTGAAAGGCAATAATGTAAAACCCCCACAAGATTTAAAAGTAAACTAATGATGTAATGTATGGTGATTAACATAACAATAAAAATTAAAAAAAAAAAGTAAAAATCTTGGACATTAGGCTCCCATCCCTAGCTCCCAACCCCTACTGGCTGTGTGATAATGGGAAGATCAAAGACCTCTGTATTCCCATTTCCCTGCCTGCCAAATTGGGATAAAGCATACACATCTGACAAGACTACTGTAAGAATCAATTGAAATAACGTATAGGAAAGTCAAAGTAGTATTTAAATATTAGTTATTGATGAAGGTGGATTAGGAGGATGATGGCCAAAATGATGAGTAATAAACTATTTCAAGAGGCAGGGCTTAGTGACAGATGAAGTGAAGAGTGGGAAGCTGTCTGGCCTAATAGTCTGAGGAAGAGCAATGCAGAAGAAGATGACTAACTGGGGGCATGTAGTGTGATGCCACAAGACAACTGAAAGTAACCTGGACATTTGGAGCTGTTGTTCTAAGAAATGGTAGTGGATGCCCAGAGGCACAGTGATTAAAGACAGATTTAAAAGAAAAAATTGTGGGTTTTTGGGTGCAGACAGCCTGACCATCCGTTCCACTTCCTACGTATAATTTTGGGCTGGGTAAGTTACTTAACTCTTTGAATCTCCCGCGGGAAAGATTCCACTTTCCATCACAGTGGAAATGATATCGATTTCAAATTTCTTAGCAAAGGCTCAATAAATAGTAGCTATTATTATCATAGCCATCAATCATGATTAGACCGACTGCTCATATGAGTATACAGAAATAAGTTTAGAACTTGTGAGAAAATACTTACAAATCTGATAGCATCCTGTTGAAAACGAAAGATGGAATTGCACCATGCTAATTCAGGAGGTAGTATAAACGAAAATAACTACACAACTGTCCCACAGAAAACCAAGAACTCAGAGTTTTTCTTTTTTTTTTTTAACCCAGATCTTAATGGAAAATCTCAAAAAAAAAAATAGGTGAAATGTACCATAAAACAAATTTTAGCAAATTAAGAGACCCGAGAGCACGTTGAATCGACCGACCACATTAACTCCTTGGAGAGCATACCTTGGAACAAAGCTTTTCCTGCCATCTACACAAAAGACACCAAGTGACTGCCAAAAAGGAAAAGGGTAGGCTGGTTTAAAAAGCACAACAGGTAAAATGAGAAGGCAAGGGGCTGGAGCCACACACGGACTGACCCTGGGGTGGCAGGGCGACTGGCTCAGAGGATTCCCGCGGGAAAAACTGCGTTCAGCACCTGACCGCCCACGTGTTCGCCCCTTCCCTATCACCCCTCTTGCCCCCTCTTCCTTTCCCTCCCTTCCGTACCTTTCCGTTTCTGCTTCATTTCTCCGCGGCCGTAGTATCTGCTACCACACACAAGGTAGCCACCAACTCGGACCTCGGGGAAAGTTGACAGCCACAAAGCAACCCCAGCGTGTCGTAAAATGACGGTCAACGTATCGTAAAGCTATTCCCAGAAGACGGAGAGCGCAAAGGCCTGACCCGCTCCCCAGCGGCGGCTCGCGAAGCTGCAGGAGGCGGGGAAGATGGGCCGCCGAGGCAAAGAACAGGTTGGGCATTAGAAAGCTCGACCTGGATAGTAGAGCGACCGGACAATGCTTATGAATAGGGGCTAGGCTAGCAAGCCTAAATGGGAGTGTGGATGTGGGTGGTCTCTAAATAAGAAGCCCAGGGCGCGCCCGAGTGGGAGATAGTCTGAGGACGAGCCACCTAGTGTGATGGAAACTAAATCAGAACCTGGAAGAAAGCATGCAGGAATCAAGTAACAATCTGAGGTGCAGGCTTTGACGCCAATTAATCATCTTAGTCTCAGATGAATGGCACAAATTATCGATAAATATCATGAAAGCTATGGAGATCTCTCCAGAAAAACTAGCACACGCACGAAGTTTTGCAGTTTGGAGGCAGGACTTGGGAAAACGTTTTCCTGAAACCCATCTGTGATCTTTGCTCATGGGCCAGAAATTTAGAACTCCTCTCATTAACAAAAAGACAGGAATAGGTGCTGTTTCCACTTCCTTTCTTCCCACTAGAATTGAGGCGACCCCAAGTCTTTGAACCCACCATGACACTGAAACCGTCCTGGTCAAGTTTTGTGACTTCCCATCAGACCAAATTCAGGAGTATTTTTCTGTCCTTATTGTCATCCTGGTACCAATGGACATGTTAGCTTCGTTGAAAGTCTTTCGTAGGACCCTCCACACTCTTGATTTTTCTTCTATTTTTTCTCATCTCTTTTGGTGGACTCCTCCTCTGTCTCACTTCAACATATTGGTGTACCCTGGACTTCACTTCTCATCCTTGTCTCTCCCAAGGTGATCCCCAGAGTATCAAAACTTCAAACACCATCCATTTGCTCCCATTTTTAGAGGACAGCTCCAACTTCTTCCCCATTTGATATCTGGTTAGATCTGGGTGTCTAGATTCGGGCATTTCAAACAACATGTCCAAAACAGAACTCTATTTTTACTCCAATCTGCTCATTTCCCACTCTTCCTTATCTGAAGTCACCACCATCCACTTTATCACTCTTTTGCCTCACAGAAGAGAACAAGTGAGGTGAGTAGTACAGTGGGTAAATTTTAAAGTGAGGTTAGAGTAGGCCTTATTGAGAATGTGATATTTGAGCTAATGTTTGATATGCAGCTATCAGGGGGAAGAGTGTTTCAGGTAAAAGGAATGGTTAGTGCAAAGGTCCTGGGGTGCAAGGATGCCTGGTTGTTCACGGAAAGTAAGAAGGCCAGCATCAATGGAGCACTTAGTGAGGGATGTGTAATAGAGAAGTGATGGGGTGGGGTGGGGGACAGAGCAGTTTATATAAGACCCCCATTGTAAAACCTTTGGCTTTTACTCTAAATGATGTGGGAAGCTGTTGGAGAGTTTTTAGCAGAGATGTGATCTGATTTATAATTTAAAATTATCTCTATTTGCTGTGTTGGGAATAGACTGGGAGGTGGGGACAGGCAGAAGAAGGGAGATCAGTTAGGTGGCTATTATCATACCTTTGCTGCAGATTCCCAAACTTGGCTGCACATTAGAATCACCTAGAGAGTAGTGAAAAATCCCAGCACCTGGATCACATCCCATACCAATTAAATAAAAATAAATATCAAGTGGTGGGAGCCAGTCAGGTTTTAAAGATCCTTGGGTGATTCCAATGGGCAGCAAAGTTTGAGAACTACTGAACGAGTCCAGAAATGATTATAACTTGAGTCAGGGTAGTAGGCTGTGGAAGTGATGAGAAGTGTTCAGAACCTGAAAATATTTTGAAGATTTCAACAAGCTTTCCCAACCAACCAGATGTGGGATATAAGAGAAAGAAAGACATCAACATCAAGGGTGATGCCGAAGCTTTTGGACAAAGGGACTGGAACCATGTAGTTGCCATTAGCTGAAATGAATAAGCTTGTAGGCAGAGTGGGGTTTTGCGGGGGGTGTGTGTGTGAGGAGGTCAATCCAGACATGTCATGTTTGGGATGCCTCGTGAGCAGTAAGCCATGAAAAAAGTTCAGGCTGGAGATACCAGATGAGAGTTATAGGTACGTAGGTGAAATTTAAAGCTATGAAACAGGGTAAGTGTGGAAAAGAAAGAGAAGACTAAAGACCAAGCTTTGGGGGCATTATATTATTAGCAGGTTGAGGAGAAGAGAAATAACCGGCCGGGGAAGCTGAGGAGGTGCCCCCAAGGAGGTGGGAAGAAAACTAGGAGAGTGGTGGTTACCTGGGAAATAAGTGAAAGTGTGTTAAGGAGGGGGGAGTGATCCACTGGGTCAAAAGCTGCTGCTGAAGGGTCAAGTCAGATGAGGGTTGAAAACTGACTAAGATCATTGGGGACTTTGACAACAATGGTTTTATGAAAATGTAGTTGACAAGAGAAGGTTTAGATAGATTGAGAGGAGAGGAATTTGAGACAGTGAGTTTAGACAACTCATGAGGGATTTTGCCCTAAAGAAGTACAGAGAAATGGGGTAGTAGCTGACAGGGAAAATAGTGTCGAAGGAAGTGTTTATTAAAATAATAAATAACAGGGACGCCTGGGTGAGTCAGTCAGTTAAGCATCTAACTTCAGCTCAGGTCATGACTTTAGGGTCCTGGAATCAAGCCCCGCATTGGGCTCTGTGCTCAGCATGGAGTTGGCTTGTCCCTCTCCCTCTGTCTCTCCCTCTGCTCATGCTCGCTCTCTCTCTATCAAATAAATAAATAAGATCTTTAAAAATAAAATAAAACATAATAATAAACAACAGCCAGTTTTTATGCCAATGGAAATAATCCAATGGAGAGTGAAAATCAGATGAATTACAAGAGGAAGATACTCTTCCTAGTCCTGGAGAGAGGTGCACAGCAGAAAGGATTTGCTTTTTTTTTTTTTCAGATGATATTTTATTTTATTTTTAAAAAAATTTTTTATTGCTATGTTAATCACCATACATTACATCATTAGTTTTTGATGTAGTGTTCCATGATTCATTGTTTGCATATAACACCCAGTGCTCCATGCAGAACGTGCCCTCTTTAATACCCATCACCAGGCTAACCCATCCTCCAATCCCCCTCCCTCTAGAACCCTCAGTTTGTTTTTCAGAATCTATCATCTCTCATGGTTCATCTCCCCCTCCGATTTCCCCCCCTTCATTCTTCCCCTCCTGATATCTTCTTCTTCTTCTTTTTTTTTTTTAACATATATTGTATTATTTGTTTCAGAGGTACAGATCTGTGATTCAGCAGTCTTGCACAATTCACAGTGCTCACCATAGCACATACCCTCCCCAATGTCTATCACCCAGCTACCCCATCCCTCCCACCCCCCACCACTCCAGCAACCCTCAGTTTGTTTCCTGAGATTAAGAATTCCTCATATCAGTGAGGTGATATGATACATGTCTTTCTCTGATTGACTTATTTTGCTCAGCATAACACCCTCCAGTTCCATCCACATCGTTGCAAATGGCAAGATCTCATTCCTTTTGATGGCTGCATAATATTCCACTGTATATATACCCCTTCTTTATCCATTCATCTGTCAATGGACATCTTGGCTCTTTCCACAGTTTGGCGATTGTGCACATTGCTGCTATAAACATCGGGGTGCATGTACCCCTTCGGATCCCTACATTTGTATCTTTGGGGTAAATACCCAGTAGTGCAATTGCTGGATCTATTTTCAACTTTTTGAGGAACCTCCATACTGTTTTCCAGAGTGGTTGCACCAGCTTGCATTCCCACCAACAGTGTAGGAGGGTTCCCCTTTCTCCGCATCCCCGCCAACATCTGTCGTTTCCTGAATGTTAATTTTAGCCATTCTGACTGGTGTGAGTGATATCTCATTGAGGTTTTGATTTGGATTTCCCTGATACCAAGGGATGTTGAGCACTTTTTTCATGTGTCTGTTGGCCATTTGGATGTCTTCTTTGGAAAAATGTCTGTTCATGTCTTCTGCCCATTTCTTGATTGCATCATTTGTTCTTTGGGTGTTGAGTTTAAGAAGTTGTTTATAGATTTTGGATACTAGCCCTTTATCTGATATGTCATTTGCAAATATCTTCTCCCATTCTGTCAGTTGTCTTTTGGTTTTGTTGACTGTTTCTTTTGCTCTGCAAAAGCTTTTTATCTTGATGAGGTCCCTCATTTTTGCCCTTGCTTCCCTTGCCGTTGGCAATGTTTCTAGGAAGAAGTTGCTGCGGCTGAGGTCGAGCAGAGGTTGCTGCCTGTGTTCTTCTTTAGGATTTTGATGGACTCCTGTCTCACGTTTAGGTCTTTCAACCATTTGGAGTCTATTTTTGTGTGTGGTGTAAGGAAATGGTCCAGTTTCATTCTTCTGCATGTGGCTGTCCAATTTTCCCAACACCATTTGTTGAATAGACTGTTTTTTTTCCCCCATTGGACATTCTTTCCTGCTTTGTCGAAGATGAATTGACCATAGAGTTGAGGGTCCATTTCTGGGCTCTCTATTCTGTTCCATTGACCTATATGTCTGTTTTCGTGCCAGTGCCATACTGTCTTGATGATGACAGCTTTGTAATAGAGCTGAAAGTCAATGCTGCCAGCTTTGTTTTTCTTTTTCAACATTCCTCTGGCTATTCAGGGTCTTTTCTGGTTCCATACAAATTTTAGGATTATTTGTTCCATTTCTTTGAAAAAAGTGGATGGTATTTTGATGGGGATTGCTTTGAATGTGTAGATTGCTCTAGGTAGCATTGACATCTTCACAATGATTGTTCTTCCAATCCGTGAGCATGGAACGTTTTTCCATTTCTTTGTGTCTTCCTCAATTTCTTTCATGAGTATTTTATAGTTTTTGGAGTACAGATTCTTTGCCTCTTTGGTTAGATTTATTCCTAGGTATCTTATGGTTTTGGGTGTAATTGTAAATAGGATCGACTCCTTAATCTCTC